AAGGATCATGTTTGTTTAATAATACTACTACTAATAGTAATAATAATAATAACAATTATGATAATGACCATAGTAATTATTGATAATAATATTAATAGCAATAAAAAGTGAAGAAAATTGTGCTAAATCCGAAAAAAGTTGTGATTTGTTGATCATAATATAGTATATATAGTTAAAGCTTAGTAAGCTATAGTTAGGCCTAAGTTGTCCTGGATATTAAGTATATCCCTGGTAAAAGATCATGAGAAGTTTGTTGGCGTTTCATTTTGACTATAATGGTGATGTGATGATGAATTTTACTATATAAAAGTGTCATTTCCGGCCAACTCGAGAGGTATTATTTCCTCAAATTTTCTCACCTCAGCCCCAGCCATGGTGGGGCTGAGGTGGTTGTGAAATCACGTTTTTGAAGTAGGCCTATGTAAAGTACATACTCAAAGACAATGTTTTTAAGCTTTGTTTTCTGTGGTATATCACATACACATTAATAAGATCTCTATGGTGTCAAAAATCCCTGATAAAAGATCATGAGAATTGTTTTTGGCGCTTCATTTTGACTAATGGTAATGTGATGATGATGAATTTTACTAAAAGTGTCATTTCTGGCCATCTATGGTACTATTTCCTCAAATGTTCTCACCTCAGCTCCAACCATGGTGTGGCTGAGGTGGGTGTCGACTCACAAAATGCCCTTCCCCTCCACATTTCAAAACAGATCTGTGCCCTTCCCTGGGTATGACATTAAACTCCATCGAGTCGGCTCCTGATGTCTTAGTGACTGCTGTTTGTTTTTAGGATGTGATCTGGTTTTTCATGTCCATTTTTCGTCATTATGACTATTCTGGATAAAGAATGTTTTGAGCAGAGGTGGATTCAAGGCCCCACCCCCCCACTTCATTTTTTAAGGAAAAAAAAGAAAAACATATTCAAATTGAAGTGCGATTTTTTAAGGACAAAAAAAAAAGAAAAACATATTCAAATTGAAGTGCGAGAGTGTAATTTCCGGCCGTCTGGAGTGCCCAAGTGACCTCAAAATTTCATCCATTTTACTTGTTGACACCGTCCAAAAAAGCTGTGAAACTTTAATTGGCAGTGCCACTTGAGTTGCACTGCCATTGGAGTTTTGAATTGCCACCAACGTTTTGCACTGTGACTCAGTTTTGCACTGCGACTCTCAGTTTTGCACTGTGACTCTCAATTTTGCACTGTGACTCTCAGTTCTGCACTGTGACTCTCACTTCTGCACTGTGACTCTCAGTTTTGAACTGCTCTCAGTTTTGCGCTGCTGACTCTCAGTTTTGCGCTGCTGACTGTGTTTTGCACTGTGACTCTCAGTTTTGCACTGTGACTCTGTGTTTTACACTACTCAGTTTTGCACTGTGACTCTGTGTTTTGCACTGCTGACTCTCAGTTTTGCACTGCTGACTCTCAGTTTTGCGCTGCTGACTCAGTTTTGCGCTGCTGCCAATTGTATTTTGTCCTTTTGTCGTTCCATAGTTGTAAGCAAGTGCGTCAAAGGAGTGCTATATCTACACATAACTTCGCTTCCGAGTGTTTCCTGATTGTGGAAAGTTACAAAAAAATAGCTACAGTATTTACATGTGTTGTTCTTTGTTATGTTTGTTGCATTGACCCATAAGTTTAAAAGCACTATGTAGGCTTATTGTAATAGTGTATTCAAACATCACCATGGTATGGCAATTTGTAGGCCAACCTCAAACCCTATGCTGAAAATTACACTCCATCGACGGTAGTTCAGTCGACCCACCCCCACTTATTTAAATGGCTGGAGGTTGAGCCGAGATACACTAAAAGAAAACCTCAACGAAGAAATAAATTAAAAGACCATATTATTGGTAAACTATTAATTCAGCAGGGATGAAAGAGAATTTCCCACCCCATCCCCTCCCCCTCCCCAAAAAAGAAAAACCACTGCGGAGAAAAAAATGATATGCACTTTCTACATTAGAAATATAAAATCAATTAAATAAACCTCTGAAACCCACATAGTCATATTTCTTCGGTGGCATCGCTCCCTGGACCTTTTTCGGTATATTTTGAACGATGCCCGACCAGGCCCACCCTAGCATATTCAAAACCCTAGCATATTCCTGTCTCTTATACACATCTAGATGTGTATAAGAGACAGGCTTCGCAGCAATTACTGACTAACCATAGACATCTGTCCATTTTCCCACCACAAGATTGTTTTCTGTACTGAGGCCTACCTTGCTAGCCGGCTACATGGCCCATCAGTGTTCTAAAATCACCTGCCCAAACATTTAGGGCCTAATTAACCAACAATCAGCTTTCAGTAATTTTAATTATCTTGTCAAATGTGCCGATCACAGCGAGTGTTCTTTCGGCCTCAATGGTCTTGTGTATAGGACGCCAAAAGGACAAAATACAATTGGCAGCAGTGCAAAACTGAGAGTCACCAGTGCAAAACACAGAGTCAGCAGTACAAAACCTGTCTCTTATACACATCTAGATGTGTATAAGAGACAGATGTAATAATGATCCAGAAAGTGAAAACATTGTTTTTATTCCGTATGATTGTTTAATGCTTTACCTTTTACAGTACAGAAACGAGAAAGTTTATAAGGTATGGTATTTAAACACACGTTTCACGACAGTATATATTAATAAGAATGACTACATGCTATCAAATCTATAGCACTACCTGAGCTGAAAAGAGAATTTAAAAAAAAAACACTCACTATATACCAATTTTTTTATCAATATAAATTGCATTGAATACTTCGTGATTCACACGAGATAAATATTTTTAAGGCTTTAATAATGTTCTATTCGATTAGAAAACACAAAGTTATATTCTAAACAATACAATTACATTTACTTCAGAATTTAATTTTTTTAATTAAAATAAAATCGTACTTGAAAAAAAGCCAAAAGGTAAAAAGTACAAAAGAAAAACTACAAATTTTCAATATAATTAAACAAACCTATGGAAAAAATATGTTGCAGATACCAGAATATGAAATTTGCAATAGTTACGAGATTTATCTGAATTTCAGTAACCTTGAAATCAGTTTAGAAATTGATGGGTTGTTTGCACGGTCTTCTGCGAGTTACAAAACATACAGACGAGACTTTAGGTTTAAAGAAGTGGCGGTATGCAAAGCCGTATGATCTTAAGACGCTGCAAGTTAGTTTTTCATTTTGCCCCCATCAATGTTTAAACCAATCCTTTCAAATTCATGACTTATTAATAAACTTAAATTAGGATGACAATACTACAGGTCTGAATTTACCGTAAATATAGGTATCAGCTTAAAATACCCATGCCTCTTCACTGGTTGCAGGGGTGACGCTCCGTCTGGGATAATAACCACAATCCGTCGGGGAAAATAACCACAATTCGTCGGAGAAAATAACCACAATTCGTCGGGGAGGAAAAAAATGTATATGTATTTTCTATGTATTAGTAGACTCTAAAATCAATTAAATAAGCATTTGACAACCCTAAATGGTTATATTTTTCGGGGGCTTTCGATAAATTTTGAGCAACACCTGACCATGCCCATTTTTTAAAGTCTAGGACATCGTCCCCTCTCCCCCCCCCCGCCTTTTTGTCCTCCCCTTCAGTCGGGGAGATCGGACCCCTGTCGGACAAATCCAGCTGGCGCCACCTTTGACTGGTTTTTGTGTAGTGAATAGGGCTTAAAAAAAAAAAAGGTTCTTTGCACAAATGCTTTCCGTAATATTGGGTCACAGTCTGTACAGTCTTAACTTGAATACACTGTCCCATCACATTAACGTTTGGTTGTAAAGTAAGATACTCGACTAACAAGTTCACACATATGTACACCTAATAATAAACACAGACATTATATGTAACATATTTCTCTGTTAAATTAAAATCAAATTTAAAGCTAGTCAAAGAAAATCATATAAACTGAAAAAAATTGTGAAAAATAACAAGGCAAAGGGAGAAACATTTTTTTAAAAATTTATCACACCAAATAAAGTAAATGAAAGACCTAAGATATATCGCGTCACAATCTACAGACGTGTGACGTGAAATGTACTTGTATAATAATGTAATTTTGAACCTATTTTGTTTTTAATGTGTTCGCATGTAGTGAAACGTAATGCTGATTAACTTGGTGCCCCTATGCAAACCAATCAATTCATACACAATACACAAAACTTGATATCACTCATTATCACGTAACTATTTCTTCATCGTAAGAAAGTCGTGTAACTATTTCGTGTGAAAATACAGTACAAACTATTTTACTATTTAAAAATTTTTTGGTCGAAATAACACGGTACCTCGTCACTCTAAAAAAAAAAATAAAAATCCAGTGCATCTGCTGATTTTCGGTGGTAGTCTGAAAAATGATCCATTGCGTGTTGGTCATGCTGTTGCGTTCTCAAAAGAGTCGTGTCAGCCGACAACTGTCGGGAGCTGTCAGTGCCTGGCTTTAGTTTTAAGAAAACTTTGAAAGGGTATGAAAAAATCTACCTTCTAAAGTGTGTGACATCCTTGCACTTACACCAATTAATAACATGATTTATATATCTTTTTCCGAAAAAAAAATGAAATAACTTGTATTCCCTATGTTAATTTAAATCCCTGTCTATTGAATTGGATTGGAATGGATTGATTGGATCAATTCGGTGTAAACACCAAGGATAGCCCACGAAAGTATAGTAGTAGGGGGTCCTTATGGTGGTGATCGGGCAGTACACCGGGAGACAGTCCAATACTCTTTTCTGAAGCGTGTACTGCGTTCTTTAACGTGAAAGTGGGCCATAAGTGCGTCTTATCCGAAAGATGGTGCGCTAATTGTAACTTGCATTTCAGCCCTCCAGCCTGAAACACAAGGAGAGGCAGCAATGGGAATTGAAATGGGGGACCTAGAGATCTCCACGGTCCAGCGCACACACAATGGCCACCACCAGATTAGCTGACTGAGCTAAGCTGCTCTCGACTATCAAATTTTCCTGGACAATAAATATTGTATGCCTGTATGAGGTACCTAAATATGGTCATGATGTGGTGTTATCATTACCATATTATGTAAACATCTCATGTTTTTGTCAAATAAAGTTTGATAGTCTTGACCAGGCTTTAAAGTTTATAATTATAATACATTATTTAATATTGTTTAGTATAGTTACTTCTTGTTTATAATTTTAACATAATTTTTTTTCTAGATTTTAATACAGTAATAGTAATTATTAATATTATTTATATAGGCACTGATGTGAATTGTATGTACCATATTTATTTAGTTCATTTTTGGCAGTTTGCCCTGCCGCTCAAATTACTTACACTTAATATGTAAAAGTATACTAAAGACTACATAAATGATATGAAATTCCCTGATATCATAAATTTACACACTCATCTCTTTTCCAAGAAATATGTTACAACTACATTGAAACACTGGTATATCTAAGCGGGCGTGTACGCCCCTTTAAAAAAACAAAAAAAAATACTGCGGCCTCTCCCAGTCAGCTCCCCTACCCTTGAAAATTTCCAAAAAAGGTCACGCTCAAGTACTTAAAAAGCACCTCACATCAGCCTATTGTACAACCTACTGCCCCTCATTTAATTACCGATCCCTCACATGATCATCGATTCCCACTCAACATTCGTACCCCATCACCTCCAACATTTAAAGTCTTCTAGATATGACACTGCATTGAAATCAAGTTTTCTAAAATTATAATTTTTTTATTATTATTATTTATCGTTGCGCACAAGAGAAGCAAAAACGCTGTCTCGTTCCATCAGAGCATTCGGAGTGTCAAACTCAATCATCCTACCGGCATCCAGCACAAGAATCTTATCCGAGTTCAGGATGGTCGCAATGCGATGCTAGAAAGCAGACAAGAAAATAATGTGTTATATAATGAAAATATAGTAGTTTACATCGGAGAACACATTGTTAACACTTTCTAATTATGGGATGGATATATCCATACTATTGTGTATTATTGGCAATTAGTGTACATAAGATAAGATAGATAAGATAAGGTAAAGATAAATTCTATTGTCATATTCCAAATAAGTGAACTATGAAATTACAATCTTGATGCTTGATAATAATAGAGAAGGCCATGAAACTTAGTAACTACTAAGATATCAATAAACACATAATATACATTTAATATACATTTAAGATTAGATACACATAGATACATACAAAATAAATACCAAAAAAAAGTTCTATAGCACCTTTGAATTATTTGCACTATGCATGATCCATATGTGAGGTCTCACCACTAAATGAGATGCATCGTTGGTGAAATCATATTGAGATATTCACCAAAACATGCCAAAGTCAGCATTTTTACAAAATTTTGATTTTAATGTTTTTGAATAACTTGATACTTATATTTTATGATTGTATTCTTTGTAAGTGAATTTTCTTGCCAAAACAGTGTTCTCTGTACATATTCTGTAATTCTAGTTATATTATTTGTACAGGTTAGTTTATCTTTGAGGCTGATTTTTTTTACAAAACGTGGTTCTTATATACCTAAACTTTAAATGCTAACATCTTTGGATTTACTTATAGTAGGAAAGCCATTTAAAGACCAAATGAAAGCTTATAATGTGATCTACCCAAATATAATATAAACCCAATTTTTGAATTTCTAACCATGACACTCATTTTGTGGTGAGACCTCACATGTATGGGCATGATATCATCATATCTATGAGGCCTGACGATATATGATATTTATTATACCCTAAACCAGTTTGAAAATATATTCATTCTGGTTCGGTTGCACGCTACCCAACAACCCCAGCATAGGGGATCACACAGGCAGGGTTGATGATATTTCCTTCTGAGTGGTACTGTGTATGGAGTTTACACAGTGCCTAGTTTTAGTTCCATCAGTAGTCTTACTTTATTACAGGCAGTTTAACAAATAAGCTTGCAACTTATATACATAATAACTTGGTGGAAAATCATTGTATAAAATATCAAATGCAATATTATAAACATTTGTTGTTTTTAATTAAATTATAATGTATAAATTGTATGTTAAATTCATTTCAACTAGTTTGAAAATTCCATACAACGCGGTGTACATTTTCTAGTGTAGTCTATTTTATCATGATTATTAGGCCCCTTTCGTTAATCTTAACAACTAGTGGAAGATATTGATTCAACTCACAGCGATAGTAAGAACTGTCCTGTTTTTGAAGGCTGTTGCCACAACATCTTGAAGAATTGCATCCTAGCAATTTAAAAAACAAATTGTTATACATCTCTCAATTTAATTGATTTTAATACAATATAGAAGAATAATAATATAAAGTATAAAATTATGAAGAATATTACAGAGCTAAATTGTTTGATTTGAGCCAATACACATGAAAAAATAACATTTATTATTATCAGTTTTTAATGAAAAATTGAAAAAATTGTTTTAAATTCATCCCTCCAAAAATTAACAATACATTAATAATACTGTTCAAATATCCTTTTGCAAAGATCTTTAAACTTGCTTGTTAGTTTATATGCTGGTATATCTTTGACACCTGTTAATATAAATTATTACTTATTAATGTTATATAAATAGACTTACCGTTTGCATATCAATCGATGCTGTTGCCTCGTCCATTACCAGAATCGTGGTCTTCCTCAAGAATGCCCTCGCTAGGCAGAATAGTTGACGCTGACCGACACTGTAATTCTCACCTCCTTCTGTAACCATTGCATCTATAGAAATGCAACAAAAGTTGAATTATAGTCCTCGAATGACAAGAACATTAAATACAAATTTTAAAAATAAACTATGGTGAATTGTTTGTTCAGCAACCAGACAATTCACAGCAGTTAAGGGACAATAAATAGAAAAACAATCATTGCCAAATTTTGGCCAAAGTGGGAAATATTGCAACCTTTTAAAACTGCAACTTTCAATGTTAATACACATGAACAAAGCCATAATGGAAAGAAGTGGTCATTGTCCTCGCCGTTCTATTCTTTAAGGGATTACTGAAGGAAAGTTTTCATCACAAAAAGACATCTTGAAGTGGAGTTTTAGTACATGAAGCAAAGATGTTTCTCGACAAAGTACAGCATGAAAAGACTACAGATATGACATTAATCAAAAAGGAAAGCAAAATAGAGAGAGTCTTATCAGGAATAGGCCAAGGCAACATATAAATTTAAGAATAGTCTCTTACAATAATTGTTTATATTTTAAGTGTAAAATTAAAATGGAATTTTTGACAAATTATGATTATCATTTTGTACCTTTATTGTACTGAACAATCAAACGATTTTGAAATAGTAATTGGACAATAGCATTGATTTTCTCTCTAATAATTTTTTTTTTTTTATAGAATTGATAATAAAACCAACCTAGGCCTTCATCTTGTGTCGATACTACAGGTTTCAGCTGAGCAATCTCCAACGCTTGCCACAAATCTTTATCAGATTTCTCACCCTGTGGGTCAAGATTGTACCTGCAAAAATGTAAAATAAATACAAAATAAATTAATGTTTTGCTTTTTACACAGTCATACTTCAATTTGGCTGAAATAATTATGACATTATGACATAATTTAGTCAAAGAATATATTAAAACATTGCTTTTACATCATAATTATCATGAAACATAAAAATGTTAAAAACTTGCACAGTTATAGTTAATTAGTGGTTGTAGAAGCGGTTGGTACTTTGGCTGTGGCTTCGACTCCCAACCATAAAATCAGGGGTTTAAAAATCTCGCTGTGCAAGACTATAGAGTCACTAGGCTAGGCACTTTATCTCTCATGTTTGTCTATCTCTAAATAGGTACATTATATGATGTTGTGTCATTGATTGTACTAGTTTCGTGCGTTGAGTACACAGGTAGCCGAGAAGGCTGGTGGCACTTTGTGCTGGGTTTTTGTTGTATCCAGTGACCAGGAGTATAACGCTCAGGGCCTTTGAATATTGATTTGGAATTGGTGCAATATAAATATTTGGCAATATTATTATCATTTTTGTAGTTTCAAGTGCACATGACCATGTCAAAGGTTGTTTGCATTACGGCGTTCTGCAAAGCCAACCTGAATTTCCATGACTATACAGTTGTATTCTATACTGTATACTGCCCTATTACCATTAGAAAGACCAAACCAGAAGTCTTCAAATTTCCATGGGATATTCTCTGTCTCTTATACACATCTAGATGTGTATAAGAGACAGGCGTTGTATGGAATTTTCAAACTAGTTCTCTGAAGAGAGCAAGGGTCAGCGAAGACTTGCCGCTGCCAGTTCGTCCACAAATACCAACCTACAAAACAATTTGAACTGTTAATAAACTATCAGATTTCTGTCAAACTCAACAGATATTATTTGTCAGACTTAGATGGATCCAAGTATAGAAGGACACATACTATATTTGATAAGATATGTCTGAAATACTGTAAGCACAAAAAAGAAGAAGTGCACTGTGTACACGAAAGCTAGTGGTTTGTCAATGAAACTACTCTTGAAAGTACTACATGACAAAAAGACTGGAAAATAACTCAAAAATTCATACAATTTTGAATTTCATTTATAAGAATCAAATAAATTGTTAGCTTTCAAAGGGCAAAAGATTTTTTTTATTTTTAAATAGTTTTCACCGACATTTTACGACAAAAATCCTTAAATTTATACCAGCCAAATTAAGGATAAAAAAAAACAACAAAAAAAAAAGGAAAAGTATTAATTAAATGAATGAAAAATTAATTTCTCACTATAATTTTAAAATAATTTATATTATAACACAAATTAAGCAATTCAAATGTGGAAATAATTATTTCTATTTCTTTAACATATTTTGAATAACTTTTTTTTTTTGTATAATAAACAGTTTTATAAAATTTCTGACTTGTGAAGTTTCAATAATAATATATTTTAACTGTACCCCAATATGCTAGCATGATTGTGCTACAAATATGAGGAATTGCATATATACATATATATAATTAATTTGTTTTATACTACAAATTATAAATTTTTTGTTGCTGGTACCAGGTAACCGGGAAGCACAGGCATGAAGGGACCCTTAGGGTGAAGGAAGTCATTGATCGAGTCCACATATCAAGCGCCCTGAGCATCATATGTTAGATGGATTTGACACTATATAAATCTACATTTTATTATTATTAAAAGTTCAGCATTATTAAAAAAAAAATATATTAATTACTGACCTTTTCTCCAGCACAAAAAGTTACAGACACATCATGAAGGACGGGATCAAGATCTGCGGCATATCTTACGGAGATGTCATCAAGCACGATTTCACCCTTGTTTGGCCAGTCTAGCGGCGGATCTCTTACTCCTGTAAATAATACCACATTTAATGTTTTATATAATATAAAAACAAAACAAAAAATTCATAGTTTAAGCCTAGGATAACAAAAATATAAAATAACTGATTTAGTATGTGCATTCTGGTGAGTGTAGGCTACATTCATGTTCATCCTTGCCATGAAGCAAGATTTGGTTTGCCACTCTGTGTGTTTGCCTGGGCTGAGCAAAAAAATATTCTTTGTGGTGTAAACAACAGCTCTGTTTGAGGTTCTTACAAACAAGTAGTAGAATATAACAGCACACCATATTACATTAATAGCGATCGGAAATGATGATGATGATGATGATGGTGTCACACATGATTGCCATACTTTGATGCCATCTCCACTTTCCGTGAGAGCCTGATAACGTAATATCGCCTACTGATTGCTAGTAAATTGTTAAAATAATCGGCAGTGTGGGTCCATGGCCTTCTCTATAAAATCATGTTGGTGCTGTGAGTAAATGGCCTTTGATAAACAAGATGCAGATTTATATGCACCAGACATACAAGTTTAGGATTGAAGAACATATATGTAGGTCTCGACACCACAAAATGAGATGCATTTCGGGTGAAATCATATTGAGATATTCACCAAAATAGGTCAAAGTCAAAAACTTTCACAATTTTTTTTTTTTTAAATAACATTACTTATATTTTATGATTGTATATTTTTTAACTGAATTTTCTAAATAAAACAGTGTTCTCTGCACATATTCTGTAATTCTACTCCTACTATTTGTAAAGGTTAGTTTATCTTTTTAAAAACGTGATTTCATATACACCTAAACTTTAAATGCTCACATCTCTAGATTTATAGAAGCCATTCGAAGACCACATAAATGCTCACAATGTGATTTAAACAAATATGACATAAGCTTTTTTTTATTTTCTAACCATGCGACTTATTTTGTGGTGAGATCTCACATATAAGAAAAACAAATATTTAAAAAAAATTACCATCATATTTTTCCATGATTAGGTCGCTATAGTAATGAACCCTCTCTACGGAGTTCATACTCATCTCAACAGCAGCTCCATTTTTTACCAACCAATTTAACTGACTAGCCATCTAAACAAATAACATATATATATGTTTTATGGGTTTTTCCCATTTGTCTTTTAAAATTTATATATTATTAAAGAATCTCTATTGAGATCCAGCGGGCCGCCACTGATGCACGTTAGAGATTGCATCTTTAGATCTCCGATCTTGTTCACAAACTCACGGACTAGTGCTGTCTCGTAAGAATTTCGTAGGACGCGTTAAGAATGACAAAATATTCTCTGTATCTACTGGAACCAGCCACATAGCTTGTATTCCACTATTTGCATTCACACCTGGGCTGTGTATACTGTATATATTGCCTTGGTTTGGCTCTGTAATCATTAGTGGTCGTGGGACTAGTTTGGGCCCTACATAAGCTGGTCGAACGTTTTATTTGGGTCTATACCCTAGCTGCACTGATGAGGCCTGGAAGGCCGAAACGGATCCGTCTGCAGATATTGGGATTCCTTCCAGTGGATGCTTAGTTTATTTTGTCATTCTGATCGGATTTTCTCTACTGTTCCGTTTTAATAGGCTTAGAAGTATCCATAATAATAAAATGTGATTGTTGGAATTGTAAACATGAAAGAAAACAATTTGATAATGTTATACTGTTTAGTGTAGAAATTCCTAATAAGCCTATTGTGCATAAAAGTTTGAACTTGCTATTATAATTTGTATGCTATTAAATATTTTGAGTATGTGCATTTGGATTTTATGTGCCACTTACTTTTATATTTCTATACTTATATAATTGACTTGAAAATTAGTATCACAGTTGAAGTTGCCTGTCAAATCCAAAATGGCATTGAAAAACTGTTTGATTTAGATAAAATTTGACTAGCAGATGGTTATAATAGAAATCACAACAATTTGGCATGTAAAATAAGATCGACTTAGGCAAACTCGACCTAAGAAAGTTTAATTGTATACACAAATTATCCCCACCATTTAAATTACAGTAATATATTACTGTTCCAATTACTCTTTGCAGTATATCCTTAAATTTTCAAGTATAATCATTAGAAATATTGCAAGCAAAAACTGTATCTGAAAGTTTATTTCTTTAAATGGGTAGATCAAATGTTTTGATTGAATTGTTTAAAGGATTGGCCATCAACATCAAGTTAAAATTAAAGCAAAGTAAATCCTTTATAATAAATATGCTGATGATATACTTTTGTAAATATTCATTGTAATATCAACAAGTATAATAAATCAACTGATTAAATGAAGCTTTAGCAACGGAAACAAGCATACTGTCACTAGATGTTACACTGAGTACTTAGCATAAGAAATTGGCAGTATTGTATTATACTCTAGGACAGCGAAGCCATAATATTTACTAATAAATTTGGCAATAGTAAGTTTTGATTCCAGAAAATGATCATATATAAAGCTTATAATGTGAAGAACATGAATATATAAGACAGTCAATTTTCTTATTTAGTTCACTGATACTGATTTTGCCTTATGGCAAGTTGTAAATTAGCTGCTGTACTGTACTGTAGTTGCACATAGGTACAATAAAAAAAAAAACACTTACATAAAGAGCATACATGATAGACAGTCCAATAAGGCCGGCATTGTTACCAGTCATCATAGATGTCAAACCGGCCAACAAAACAACAAACGCACCAATGATGTCCTAATATTAACAATATAAAACATTAATGCATTTAATTATTCTATTTCTTAAATAATGTACTTAGATATTTCTGATTATAAATCATCTACAAAAATAAAAAATTAAACAAAATTTAAAAAAATATGGACCTCCAACATTCAAACCTATCATGCAAAGATACTGAAAGTCACCATGGATTTTCAAAAAAGTTGCTAATTCATACATTACACTGGCCCCAAGTTATAAACAATTTGCTATGCATCACAAATTCTAGCTAAAAAGTCCTTTTTTTTTCTTGTCCTTATGTGTAAGATGCATGCTGATGTCAATTTAACTTTGTACACACTATCAAATTGTATACCCATTCATGATGTGATGTCATCATGACCAAAGTGTTTTTGTCAAATACTTAATTTGATTGTCTAGGCTCGACTTTATATCACTCACCAGTCGAACACCTAACCATCTGTTGGCAGTTTGGATGTACACATATGCAACGTTGTTCTTGTCGATTTTGCTCAGAATGGCATCTCTGAATGAATTCTGCAAACTAAAAAAGAAGCAACAATTTTTTAAAATATCTTCAACGTTAACATTACGGTATGACAACCTATTTAGGATACATTACATTAAAAGAGCTATGACATCCTAACCAACCAACTCTACATGTAGATAATTTGATACATTTACTTCTCTCAGAAATGAGCTACTGATTGTTATTCATTGATCCAATTTTTAGAAAAAAAAAGAAAAAAAGGAGGATTTGTTATTGAGGCCGAGGTGCCATGTAGATGATGCAATGATGAACTTCGACCTCAACAACAGGTTTGTCAGACCAAACTTGGTGGGACGACGCAAGACTCATTGAAAAAGACAACGGATCGCAGACTGAAAATCATATTGTGTTAAAACTGGACCAACAAAAAGCTGTGTCCAGTCATGAAGTTTTTTAGCTCCAATGAGGAGCTCCAGAAACACTCGGCTGATTGAGTTATAGGGTTTTTTTTAGATCTACTGCCTCTATTATACTGCCCTCATGAGGCTGATTGATTAATAGTTCACTGATTAATAATCTTTTTGAGATCTACTGTCTCTGATATACTGCCCTCATCACAGCTTTTGAGATTACAAGAACTTGTTTACTGATCAAACTACAAAATAATGAAATAAATATCCACAATGAACTAGTTTTATAGTAGAAAATTAAACTGTTAGTATTATATCAGTTAGAGAAATTATTACAATTGTAATCATTATATTATTTACCAGTATGCGCGGATTGTTGGCAGTCCACCGAGGGATTCGGAGAAGTGTGCAAACACTGGAGACTTGCTGATACTGTCCAGACGCTGCAACTCCCTGAACATTAGAAGAGATAAAAAACAAAAAGATATTAATCAATACTCAACGAATTTTATTTGTCATATATACATGTACAATACACATACAATGAAATTTTAACTGGTTCCTTAACAAAAACAAATATAAAATGCGAAAATTTCAAACTAGTGACTTGTTCAATGCCCTACAGTATAGGGGATGGATAGAAACTACATAGAGATCTACCCCTCCCAGTCACTAGTGATTGATATCAGCGACCACTCCGCATCAAAGTGAATAAATGGTTAGCCAGGTGATTTCTGCCCTAAGCGATCGCCATTGCCTTTTTAACAATACGGTCATGATAAACTACATCTACCGAAGGCTGCTCGATTCCAATGATATGGGAGGCAGACTTAACTACACGATTGAGGTCCTTCTTCTCCTTCTTGGTGGACATTAAACATTATTCATTTATTTACTTTTTTATTTTTTTTTTACATTTTTCACGCAGATGTTAATACCTGCTTTTAAATTTCTGAAAGCTATATAATTTTTAATCGAATAGTCTGAAAGATTTTGAAAAAGCATGATGTCAGTTCTTTTCATATAACAAAAGAACAATTAACCCTTGACCCGTTGATCCAAGCCAGAATTTTCTAGGAGCTATAGAAACGTATGAAATTCGTGTTGAAAACAGACTATGCTGCTTGGCGACTGCAGTCGCCCCTAGTGCTATTTTGACCTACATTCTCGGCGACTGCCCCCCCCCCTCCAATTATTAAGGGTTAACAATGGTCTTGCATAATAATTACAATGAAAATAAAAAAAGTCCACATAAAAATATACAAATAAGGTAATAGAGAAAAATATTAAAGATTTTAAAAAGTCTAAAAATACATTAATATTCCGTAATAAAATGGTAATATTATCAAAAAAGCATAAAATATAAACAATTTTAAGTCACATATCAAACAAACTTCCAAAAAACATTATTTTACTATAAAATGGTAAAAGTATCAAAAAAGCATACATTTTGTTTAATTTCCACTTTAATAAACTATTTATACAAAACAGTGAAATAATTAAATCATTTTAAATATCAAATTTAGAAAAATAGCTTTTTGCATGTGGTCTTGCACGGTTTATATTTAAAATATTAATGAATCTAAACATCTACCCCAGCAACCTGTTAGTTATGCTATTTAGTAATGAACAACTATTAGAAATAGAATAAAATTTCATAAATGTAGGGTAATAATAAAAAAAAATAAATAAACTAGAAATTGCAAATTGCAAGTGAAGTGCTGCGAAGTACACCAGCATATAAATGTTCTTCGAACAAAATTATTTATGCGAGTCAAGTGAAAATAATGAATAATAAAAATATAACAAATAATATGAGACATGACCTATTTTCTATAATTAGAACACTTCTCATTGGGTAACAAAGTCGTAATTTTTCATTGTTGTCAAAAAGGGTCTATAGTGGTGAATTATGGTTTAGGTTTTTTTAAATAAAGTTTCAAAAAATTTCTATGTATGTGGAAAATGTAGTTGATTGCCAAAGGTTACAATTTTTATTTTGAAGACTGCATGGTCTAGGAAGTGTACATTTTTTTATGGGGCAAGTTTCCAAGGGCGGGATTTCTAGGGGCGAGTTGACTGCCAAACAGTATTGCCAAAGTGCAAGCCAGTGTGTTATTTGATCACAAGTGCGAGACATCGCAAGTGTGAGCCAGCGAGCCATGACGTCACGACAACAGATACGAGACGTTACTCGAGTTGTGCGAGGTATCGGCTGAGGTTTGTGGAGTACGATTCAAAAAACAACTATAGGTCTAATAATGAATTATTGTGATGTTAAATAGCCAATGTTAGCTATCAAGGAGCGAAGTTTGTTTTTCATTGGGACATTCGTTCCTTCAAGGCTAGGCCTATACCATCCTAGCTAGTCTAGGCCTAGAGTAGGATAAGGCTAGCGCGACATGCGGACGTTGGTACGTGTTGGTTAGTCTACAAACGTCGCCTAAAGTAATTAATTTTACCCGGCAGAACGAAAGAAGGAAACTCCGCTTTTCAGTCGTATTAGGCCCCTGTTTTTGGACAAACAATGACCTTTCAGAGGTCAAATTGCTGTCAAGAATATGAATTGGCTGCTTCGCAGCAATAAAAAAATAAATTAAATTAGATAAAAAATAAATAAATAAGCAAAAAAAAAAAGTAGTTAATCACATTGTAAATTTGGTGCTGCCTGTCATACGCAGAAGAATAGAGGGTCCAGTAACGCCATAGCACCTCTAGATAACTGGAAATAACACTCTAAAACTTAAACACAATTTTCATTTTTCCTCTATTGTTTTTAATTTTTTTTTTTTTTTTAAAGAGGGAGGTCAGCACAGCAGGGTTTCCCCTTGAATTTTCCTCTGATAAAGGCAAGTATTGTAACCACCAAGCTATTCAACTGCACCCTTCCCACATTATCAACAGGTGCTGCTATTATGTTTTTCAAATCCTTACCTTGAAGTTGTGATGAAATACATCATCATTACGATGTACAGGATTACCATTGGTATGCAAATAAAGATGAAGAAATACGACACGATGGTGTTGACAATGATCACGGAGATACAGTTCATTGAAAACATCAGCAATAAATTCAGAGATGAACCCAGTTGCTACAAAGGTAATTCAATATTATCATTACATTCTCTATTTAGTTCAACAATGCATTTAGTTCATCAATGTTTATAGTGATTTTCAATGCTTTGTGATAGTCACTGTGTTTCTGATCGTTACTATGTGTTATCGTCACTGTGTTTGTGATCGTCACTGTGTTTCTGATCGCCACTGTGTTTGTGACTCTCACTGTGGTTGTGATCCTCACTGTGGTTGTGACAATCAGTGTTTGTGATCATCAACGAGTTTGCGATTGTCGCTGTGTTTGTGATCGTCACTGTGTTTGTGATGGTCACTAATTATTTTGCAACCATCACTGAGTTTGCGATTGTGAATGTGTTTGTGACTATCAATGCGTGTGTGATTGTCACCATGACTGTTATTGTTAATATTTGTGATCGTCAGTGTTTGTGATCATCACTGCGTGTGTGATTGTCACCATGTCTGTGATTGTTAGTGTTTGAGTTTGTCACTGTGAATATCATCATTTTCACCATTTATAACCCTCTATACCAAGATCATTATATAACTTTTCCATTATCATCATGGTTATCACCTTCCATCAAAAATTTCACCACCATTATCACCATTATAACTACCATAATCATTATCACTATAATTTTCTTTATACCATCACAATTATCACCCTTAACATCATCATTACATCTTCATTCTTACGATCAATATATATCTCCATTTTCGACAACACCCATCATCCTTATTACCATTTTATCCTCATTTCATTTGTATATTCAGGCTTCAAAAGCACTGGAATTGCATCACCATACAGTAGATACCATTTTCATCTTTAACCTAACACCCTTTCTGCCTGTCCACACTATCAAATTGTATATAGTCAATCGATTGGCCGTCCCGAGGCAAAATAACGTAACTGACATTTTTGTCGATTTTGAGATAATACAATTAGGGAGAATATTAAACACTTCTGAGTTACCTGTAAAATTTACCTGTAAAATTTACCTGTAAAATTTACCTGTAAAATTTACCTGTAAAATTTACCTGTAAAATTTCTCAACAATGAGTCGTTTCGGAGAAAGCACAACCTATGTTTAAGCACAAAACTTAAAATCTAGTGATTTTCTGTGGTAAAACAACGTAACTGCAAGATTACGATTATAAATATATGTTGATTTGCCTCGGGATAGTGTTCAAAAATGTTTTGAGCTCATGGAATTTGGCACAGCAAAATCAACATGGTCTTTTGAGATCTCTGTGTTTGGTAATGCAACGCCTGACCGCCAAACACAGAGATATCCGTGTTACTTGTGTTTTATGGAATCCGATAGATGGGTAATTATCGACATGTACTAACAATTTGAACACTATGTTCAGTCTGGACCGTATGTATTTCACTATCTGTTTGTTTAAATTGAGTGTAGTATATATAACGGTTCATCCTGGTAAGTATTCACAAAACAAACAACATTTTATAGTGCAGACAGACCTTTCCACCATCACAACCATCACTATTACTATTTCTAGTATGATTTTTTTTTTATTACACATGAGCAATTTTTTTCCATCTTACTGCATCTAGAGTCTGTATGTCCGATGAAAATCGATTAAGAACTCGGCCGATTGGAGTTGTATCAAAAAATCTGTAAATGAAATAACTTATTTGTTAGATTTCCAACTGTAATTCAATCATCTTAAAAAAGATCAACCTCATATTTTATCACCGTGTGTGTACTCATATTGTATGTATTTATTGTCTGTTGACTTCAAAAACAGTGATGTAATGAACCTTTCCTAAGTGTTAATTGAACTTAACTTTCGACCAATCAGTACAGGACTTGGAATGAGCTGTGCCTAACTAGCGCACATGTAGTTTCACAAATGCACATATGTTATGTTTTAACACAGGGGTGGGCAGAAAAACCAAAGTGAATTTTTGGTTTAACACCGAGGCCCGCACCCAAACTTGATGTTTCCAGTGAGCTTCCAAAAAAAAAACTCCAAGCACTGCTTTAACACGATTTTATTTTTTAATGTTATGTTTTTACATATGATCGGTGTCGGACCGTAAAAAACAAGGTGTTTTCTAGTCAATGTTGCTTGGCGGGCTGCACACACAGGGTTTTTAATTCATCTTCTTAGGCTGCAAAAACATCGCTGTCAGGCCACATGCATGTGGAGCCTTGGCAGCAATCCAAGGGGCGGGGAGGGGCTTAAAAGAAAATCCAATTGAAATAGAAGCCAAAGGCTCCAGAGTTATTTTGGCAGTTTAGAGCACACACAGTACAGCTACCACCACTTAAGTGACTGAGATGTGTATGCTGCTTTCCTGAATCCAGAGGGCCTGCTTCCAGTGGTGACTCCAAAAATTTTCAGACAATTAGGGAGCACAATCCACTGGATCGCTACAGCCTTGGTCACAGTCCCATATTAAGACTTCATGGTTTAGAATAACCATTGTGCTTTTTGATGACAATATTATAAATTAGCAATCACGATAAAATAGAGTGTAAAAAAAAAATTAAAATATACAATAAAAACTTCAGTTTAGAAAAGCAAATTAATATATGTAGACATTTTTGTGGGGGTCAAATGAAGAGGGGGTTTCAAGCTCATAGAATGAGTAGAGGGAAATAATGAAAACTTAAAAAAAATGCCACTGACCTGAGAGGGGAGAACATGACCATTGTTAGCATGGTGTTATGCATCCTCTTTGACGCATACAAAGCTGAGAGAACCAAAGTCAGGGATGATGTGGTTAACAGAATGATACTGATGATGGAGAATCCAGCATAGCCACTCAAATACTTGCGCAGTATTTGTGCATCAGTTTTCTATAAGAATAAAAACAAAAAGATTTGACATACAAACCACATACAGTAAAACTGAAGTAAAATACTAAAAACGATGGAAATGACAATGATGATCATGGTGATTATATTTTTTTAATACAAATATGTGTTTATGCCTTAAAAAGTAGAAAATACAAAAAAATACAACATGGACCATTTTTAAATCTATGTTGAAGAACGAAAACAATAGCATAACACTGTCGCATTGCCTACCGTACTGGCAAGGTAGGCCTAATCCAGGCTTTTTAGCTCATTAAAATAAATTAAAATGCCGAACCTCAATTTCGTACAATTTGTGTTGATCAGGCATGGCCAACACAACATTCTCTTTTTTGTTGGCCTTGTGATGATAATGATGATGATAAAATAATGATGTTGATGATGATGCAAGGTTGATGACGATTATTATGATGACAATGATTATGATGATAATAATAAGATGATGTGAATAACAGTGGTTATAAAATAAATCCAACTGTGTTGATAGACAAATTTTTATTTACTGATGAATATCAGTTAGTCACTCAATCAAACAAACAATTAGATAAATCAATAAATTATTCAAAAAATAACAAGTCATCAACAAAACCAATCATTCAAATGATTAATAAATAAAAAATCAATCATTTAATCAACAATATTCTTACATTTGGTGGTGGATGAATACCAGCATTTGACCAGGCAGAGAGCCAGAAATTGTTACCCACACTGCATCCATTGTACAGGAAAATGAGAACCATCACAAGCAGAAACACACGGACACGAAGCTGTTTGATATAATTGCCGTACATCGTAAAGCCAACGGATCCTTTAACACGCTCCTCTTTCTCAATTAATTTTCCAGTTTTATCATCGTTATCTGAATATTGAGGACGAGGTCGAGAAAATATCATTGGGGTTGTCATGAGTAATCAAGTGATGCACAGAAATGATAGAAAAATTGTCTATTTTCATTCCCGGCCTACGAAGTCTCGCACATTTGTCACAGGACTCGCGCATTCAAACTGCTCTCAAGCTCTTGTTCTCAGCGGGATCTCTTGTTCTACTTGACGTAGTTTTCTATACACCAAATTCGTCACCAAAGCAAGCTGTTATAATGGGTATAACATCAAAACAAACCGCTAGGTGACAACTTTTGTAATATGCCCCCACTCAAATAAACTTCAACAGTTTTTAAACCCCAAACAATTCTTTATATGTACATCATAAACTAACTTATCGAAAAGCCTTCTTAAATATTCCTTTTAATAAACGTCAGAGTTTTGACCCTTTAGATTTGAAATGGAATGAAAGAAACAAATGGAAAACTTGAACATTTTTGCATAGCCTCGTCGCGTGAAAGTCATACAAACAACTGTCTTCTGACTCAATGGTCATCGTTGTCAAAAGAAAGACCTTATTCTAAAATTCAGCAATAAGTTTGTCCAATAGTTTAAATATTTCATACAGAAATCCTAACAAAATGACTTGGTGATAGCATTTAAGATAAATGTGTACCGCTAAATCAACAGCGATCCTTTAGTCAGCGCCGGATGTGTCGAGTCACCCAAGTGATATTTCTAGGCCCCCTGGAAGTCGTCTCAAAACTATTCATATTTTTAGTCCTAATGAAAATTTTAATCAAATTAACCTTAATCTCATGTATCTATGAATCATTCAAAATATATACGCTGTTTAATATAAAAAGTATCTTCTACGATAACTTCATTACATTTTAGACGATTTAATATACACCACTTTCGACTCCGCTCAATTCGATCCATTAGCAACTTAAAAGTCACATTCAGAGGCGGTAGGCCTAATTACACATTGTAGGGTTCTTTCTAGGCATGTATCAATGCATCTCATAGGGTTACTAAATTCAGCCAGTTACATGACTCTTCAAGTTCACAGAAAAAGCACTGCTATATTTAGCTTTAGCATATAACACAATTACAGGTATCTCCACAAATAGGCAGTAGACGAAAAAAAAACACCTAATAAAATTGTTTTAGACAAATATTCTATTTTTTAGTTTGCCATTTTTATACAGTAGACTAGTTGATTTTTTATAAGCCATGTCTCCATTAAACTTCAGTAAAATAAACAAAAATCTTTTGGAGGTGGGGGAAACAGAATTGGAAAAACCTTAATAGTATACCATGTTAAAAAATTGTCTGGAGATAAATATTTTTTAAATAAAAAGACAATACTACCTTCGTTAACACCTTTCTTAACAGAGATGACATCGCCCTCGTCATCGGAAGCAAATGACATCCTAGACACCTGCCTCAACAGCTTTCTTCGTTCTACAACAACATCATCTTCATTTTCTGAATCAACCTTCTCTTTTTCCTTCTGCTGGGATTCTTGGATCAGTGTCTGCCATTCGCTGTACAGTTCTGGGTCTTTCTTAGCTATATCATCCAGTGTTCCTTGATGTTGAACTCTGCCATCTTTCATAACAATAATCTGAAAGATAATAACTTATTCTTTATATTGTAACTTTTTTTTCAAGCTCTGTTAACACAAAAGGGACATAGAAAGATGATTTTTTGTTATACCCCTGTCTCTTATACACATCTAGATGTGTATAAGAGACAGCTTTCGACTCCGCTCAATTCGGTCTATTGGCTACTTAAAAGTCACATTCGGAGGCGGTAGGCCTAATTATAATATATATATATATATATATATATATATATATATATAACATGTAATCAGAAAGGAATATCCAATAACCCATTGCCTGATAGAGGTGTACAATAAACTAATTTCAAATGCTGAGATTCCTAACTCAATTAGCACACTGGCCCTAACAGATTTTACAAAGGCTGTTGACTTTATTGATCATAGATTTTGCAAATCCCCTTCTATCTTGCAATGGGTTGTGGATTCCCTTTCAGATAGAAATCAAAGGGTTAGGTACAAGAACAAACTTTCCGAATGGGAAACCCTTACTGGGGGAGTCCCTCAAGGTACAGTCTTTGCGCCCATAATTTTTTGGTGTGTAATTAATAGTGCCTGTACAGATGATATTTTAGGATCTAATTCTGGGATCCAGGTCTGGAAGTATGTCGATGACCTGACGCTTGGAGAGAGTAGAATTTTAGGCCAACCAAGTTTGATTCAGAAGGGACTAAATTGTCTTCAAGAGTAGTCATTGACCAATAAATTAAAACTTAATCCCTCCAAGTGTCAAGTCATGCAAATTTATTATGGACAAGAATGCTTCCAGACCTGGATCTTCACATAGCTGATCATAAATTACAAGTTGTCTCTGAAGTTAAATTATTGGGGGTTCATTTCCAGTCAGATTTGAAATGGGGGGTGGGGGGTTATGTCAAACTTATGCTACAAAAAGCTAATAAAAAACTATTCATGCTCCGTAAATTGAAACAGGCTGATTTGAATATTAAAGAGTTATTAACTGTGTACAAAGGTTACATCCGCCCCATATTAGAATATGCCGTCACATTGTGGAATAACGGCCTCACTGTGCTGCACGTATCCCGTCTAGAAAGTATGCAAAAACGAGTTTGCCATTTAATCCTTGGGGGACAGTATACGACTTACGACTGTGTAAGTCGTATACTTTTCATTGAGTCGTATACTGTCCTAGCAAACAATAATAATATAATCTTTATTCATTCCACCACCTATGGTACAATACCGAAACCAAGAAGGCGATGCCTGTAAGCAGGTCCGGTGCTAACTTATAAATTAATGCCTTAAATAAACATCAAACGGATACAAACATGGTCCGTAACTTGCCTAACCCTCCTGAGAGGGTTATTCGAGGAGCTGAGCGTTTTTTGTTATTATAAAGACCCGAATTCAATACTCGACACAGAGCCGGGTATCGTACCCGGGCCCTGGTGTGCAAGAGGCAGGAACAATACCAATTAGCCAAACGCTCAGCTAGTTTATTAGGTACAGTAATTATATTTTTGTATTTGACTTGGGTTTTTTTATGTTTTTGTATTTTATTGGGGTTTAATCTATTTTTGTATTTGACTAGGGTTTGTATATTTTAAATTGATGTTTCTTATTGGCTGTTTGTGAAGAGTGTCCCCAATTCAGCTTTCAGATGCTAAGGAACTCTATTTTGCCAACTTTGAATAAAGAGACCGAGATATATATACCTAAATGCTACAGTAACAGGCGCTATACGATCTTTGGTTACGGTAGCTTGACGTAAAAAAAAACGTAAAATCGTAATGCCCTATAACTTCATAAAAAAAAATTGCCAAAAAAAAATTTTTAAGTAGATTCTATTATTAATGACATATACAAAAAAAAAAATTCGTTCTAAGTCCCTTTTAAATTTTACTTGACAAAAAAATGTGACATATGCCTAAATATGGTCATGGTGATATCACATCAAGTCAGTCATTTCCCCTTACTGGGTAATGGTCTATAAACAAAGTTGTTTTGACTTTTTTGCATTCAAAAAAAAAAATTTAATTTAATTAAGTGAAAAAATATTGGAACATGACATGTCAATAATTATATTTTGCAAGAGAATATTTAAAGGTATATAACCAGCGAGAGCAAAATGAATAATTGACATTTTATAGTTGTTAATAACATTTTAAAAATGCATTATTCACTATTCACTGTGAAAAAAAAGTGTTAATGGATACACATAGATGAAAACATCAAACATGTTTTGGGTATGAAGATGTTTGTATTTGTGATCAAACTCCTGTTTTCACAGGATATGAACACAGCACTCTGGGACTGGAGGGAATCTTAAACACCAGGCTACATCTCCACTCTGTAAGACTCACCAATGTTTATAAAAATAATATTTACTTTTAGTAATAGTATTTCTAACTGGAAGCCAAATGTTTTACAAATGCCACATTCTAAACAAGAAGTGGTTTAGCACAGTGGGTACGGTTTGGTTTCTCAACCTCGAGGTTGGGGTTTCAATCCCCTCGCTGTGCATTTCGCTTGTGTCCTTGGGCAAGCCACTTTATCTACATTGTTTTTCCCCACCCAGGAGTATAAAGGAGTATACAAAGTATAAATGGGTACCTTGTAGTGTTAAATGCCAAATGGCACTGATGTAGCTGTTGCAACATTATGGAATACTCCTCCAGGGAACTTAAGTTTGTGTTCCATAGGCGTCCAATCCAATGACCAGGGGTAGTAATGTGAAGCGCTTAGAGGCCTTGTTGGCACTAAGAGCTATATAAATATAACATATTATTATTATTATTAACCTAAATTTAATTAATATTTCTGTTAATGGGATTGACTTACCCAGTCAGCATTCTCAACGTACTGAACTTGATGTGTCACCAAAAGGCAAGTTCGACAATTGTTCATTAGCAATCCCACAATGCCTTCTTCAAATAACTGACGTCCCACGTGGACATCAAGTGCTGATAGTGGATCATCCTATAAAAGAATTGATGACATACGCAATATTATTGGGGGGCTTTTTCAATAATTTGTTTCACGTAGTTTAAATCACTTGTAGGCCCAATATATTTAAATTGATTCATATATGTAGACACAAAGTTTTAAGATTGCTAATAGCAAACAATCATTGTTTCATCTCTTCTCGGTACTTTAAATTTTATTTTTTAATATTTGTTAAGCACTTCTCTGACGATCTTTCCAACCTATTAAAACATACACCAACGGCCCAGGAATTAGAAGGCAAGCATCTTAACAACCAATATACAGTTCCATTAAACCATAGATGAAATTTTACTTTTGAAAAAGTATGGATTTTAAATAATTATGAAATTAAAATTTTGAAAATATATATGAAAATTACAAAAAAAACCCAAAATAAATAAATGAATTTGAGAAATAAAGAGAGAATTTACTGAATACAAATTTGTATTCCTACCAATATTACAACATCATTGTAACTGTACATCGCCCTGGCCACGCTGATCCTCTGTTTTTGGCCCCCGCTGAGGTTAATGCCCTTCTCACCAATCTCTGTTTGATCCCCAGCTGGCAGGATATCAATGTCTGGCTTTAGAGCACAAGAGGAGATGACTGAATCGTATCTATTGTTCGATTAAAAAAGAATCAACAAAAGATACTAGAAACACAACATAGAGCACTCGCGTAGTAAAAGTGAGGCGGAAATGCATCACATTTTTTACTCAAATACAGACGCAAGCGGTGGCCTTCTATGTTCAATAATACCAATTTACACAAGATGATAATAGGCACGCATCCAGACATACAGGGCGCCCTTCTCTTGCTAAGTAAATCAAAATGTACGTGGTTTACATTTTATACTTTTCAATAAGTAACTTTGTTCAATACTATCTTGTCATTTGCCATTTTTTGACTGCAATTAAAATTGAATTTACTTACGCTACTGTTTACTTTTCCTATATTGTATCGAACACTCTTATAACTTTTAAAGGCTTCCCCAGATAACCATGTTTAAAAACACACATAAATAAATGCTTGCCATTTTATTGGTGGAATTATATAACAGGTATTTACAACAGTTAAAAACAAAGTAATCAATTATTTTATCTGAATTATTTGTATGTGCATATGTTTATGTTCTATTCATTATCTTCCACTCCATGATACCTGGAGGTAAATATCAAATGATGCCATCATGCAACACACCCATTTAAACTTGCAACACACTATAGCTGGCAGAAAAGCCACAGATAGGCAAAACTTTTTATGTATAACTAGAATCAATTTTTACTAGAATTATCAATAATAAATTACTTGTTCTCCTACTTACCTGTCCGACTCAGCGCAATAACCAAACAGAACATTTTCTTTCAGTGATGCATTAACAAGCCACGCTTTCTGCGCTGCAAATGACACGGTGCTCTTGTGCCTGAAAAGGTAAATGAGGAAAACATGTTCATCAATCAATCAATAAATAACCACTCACTCAATCAATCAATGGACTAACCAATCAATCATTTTATTTAAATTGTATCAATACACAGTCATCTACATTGCACAATTATGTAATATTCAAAATCGGAAAAAAAAAGGAAGCTTGGCTTGCTTTGGGTATTGTTCTAGTTAAATCACTTGAACATTCGTACACAGCACTTCATCAATGTCATGAAAATATTTTTTCTGTATTGTGACTGTATACAATTGCCTGTGACTTAATATTGAAGTTACAATAGGGAGTGTTTCGCAAGCTTACAAAAACGAAAAAAAAATATGGTTACGTCATCAATTTTTTAGATAATGCATTAGATAATGCAGTATATGCAGTATACAGCATTATTAAGAATGTTTTAGGCATGAATGACGATAACGAAAATGATGTATTCGTATTCGTTATCGCTTTCGTAAGGTTACGAAATCGCCCTATTAATCATTTATTTGACAAATACAAATTCAGGAGCAAGATTCACAGTTGGCAAGTTATTTTGATCTCAATAATAATCACAAAATGCTCCTCAACCCAATATTATATTAATTATATAGTATCAAAATTATATATATTATTTTATTAAATTGTTTGTGTGCAATTGGAAATAAATCTTTATGTAGGTGTTAATCCCTATTGTCTCTTCCTGTATTTTGAATAAATAATTAATAATCATAACTTTCTTGGATTGGATTGGATTAATTCGGTGTAAACACCAAGGATAACCCACACCCAGTAGCTACCACCAGTTTAGACGACTGAGCTAAGCTGCTCTTGCACAATGACAGTGTCAGTTTCTACATTACCTGTTCCACTGGACATTCCCACTGAGCGTAGACATCTCACCCAACATCGCCGCCAACACAGAGGACTTGCCACTTCCAACAGCACCAACGATCATTGTCAGTTTACCTAGAATCCATTAAAACCCGTAGGTAAAATCAGTGTATTATTACAGTATATTCTTGAGTATAATAAGGTGATGTACGTATCAGAAGAACCCCCGAGTTTTAGAAGATTTTCGTATGTGGGGTGTATAAAGCCGAGCACTTAATACGGCCGGTGGTCACCGGCCGACGTGATTCCACGTAGGTTGCAACGCCACGACGCGCACATAACAAATCTTTTTTAATGACGGTCCGTTCAGATTGTCACCGACGATCAGCAGACAGTGTCGTATCGTCTGACGCTCACAGGGAGTGGAGTTAAGATTCATCGTACGAGGCAGTGAGTGCCAAGCTTAAGACCACCCTCTGCTTTAGCATCAGAATTCCTACGTTTTTGCTGCTCTTTACGGTCTAAATACTGCCTCTAGCTGTCTAAGTATGGAGCCAAATGTAGGGAAATCCTTGAACTAATACCATTTTATGGGCTTTAAAATGTTCATCAAAAACTTTCATTCACACTAACAGTTAGTAGCTTCATTTAGGTTGTAAATTTGCGTGTTACGGACGATTCGCACACAAGACGAACATGATATAAAAATCAGAAATGTGTATATGATCGTAAGTTGCTTTTTTAAGGCTTGTCATATCATTATCATATCACATCACTTTCTTCATTAAATTTTCATTTTAGGTTTTTGGTATGTGATACATATACTTTACCATGTTTAACATTCGTAGATTCATACATTTAAATTTTTGTACATTCAAATTCGAAGTTAGTTCTGGTCTCGTGCCAATCTCAGCCACTTTAGATAGGCTTTCTTCGTTAAGGCTTAATTCTACGAATGGATATCTGTTGTGAAGCAGGAAATCAAGTTGTCCCTCCCCAGTACCGCCTGATTATAAATCGACGGGAAATCAACCGATAGTTACAGAAAATAAAAATATACAAAGAAAATAATGGTTCCCTCACCTGCGGGTATTTCTAAGCTAATGTCGGCTAAAGTTGGCTCCGGTGAATCAACATCCCAAGTAAAATTAGCATGTTCTATCTGTGAATAAGAAGAGGAAGATTTAAAATAAGAATAAATATTAAAATTTATATAATGATTTTATTTATTTATTAAGCTTCATCACTGCACTGAGAACAAAAAGTACAAGAAAACAAGACATGAAAATCAGCGAATAGGAAGGGATGTCAAGCACCTCACATCAAGAGAAAAAGAACAGAAAAAAAGATGTGGAAATTGCATGTAATGAGTGCAAAAATAAATATATTTACATTTTAAAGTAAAGGCTGTAATATTGCAGATATAAATATATAGAAGTTAATGTGATCAATTTTAGGATAGTCTTGTGTTATAATTACCCACAAGGTTACTATCAGTGTGCAAAAAAAGCTGCAGATATGTTCTGAAATGACACCTCAATAAAAGGAAGACAAATTTCACTGGATAAGCTTGGCAGCAGTCACAGTGGATAGACTCTCCATTGCAAAATGAGTGCTAAAATAGTGCAGAGCTTCCTAGACAACCGCCACCCCACTGTCAGTTGCTTGGAACTTGTATTCACCACCCAAAAAAAAAAAAAAAAAAAAAATACTGACTGTACCATTTCTGCAGTTTGCCAGTAAAAAACAGCAAACAATGTAGATAACTATATAATTTTATTGGGTCTATTTTAAAACGCAAATGTCTCGCAACTTTTCACTGGGGACATCCAGTCAGACTACTTGACAACCTAAAACACTGCAGGATTTTGCACCCCTATTTTCTTTTTTTTTTTCTGTTTTGGCATTTTGTTTTCAAAGACTATCCTAGACCTCTACACCAACAAGGTCATGCACCACTCAAAGAGCACAGATAAACACTGGTAATTCGTAGAATACAATGCCTAGGTCTCTGGATGTCCCCCCAATGGTAGTTGCCAGGATCTCAGAAAGTTTCATTTCAAATTTAGTGAAAATGGTGTATGGGGCTATTGTTGAAAAAAGGAACTTTAGTCGAAGCAGTAAATACAGAGGCACATGCATACATATGTTAGAACTATCAAAACAATTATTGAAATGTAGAATATATACTGACCTTTAGCACCAGGTCATCAGGAAGGTCATCAACATTTGAGAAATTTGGGTTGGCAGTGTTCGACGAGAAGGTTCCATATTGGTTGCCATCGGCTGCATTTACCAATAAGGTACGATCATTGTTCTTTTTACTTTTAAATTTGTTTGGTGGTAAGCAACAAGCTGTGCCAAAGTCCTGTTAAACAAGATATAAAAATGTTTTATTTTCTTCATTCAAACAAGGATATACAGAAATACGCTATGATCATGATCTGGTTGAGCTTGCTTGGGATTTTTTGTCTCAGGTCGAGTTTGTTTGGGATTGTCTGTTTCATTCTCGCCACCCATCACAATACACATAATAAACAATGGCTATTTCTTAATTGTCAATCAATTAAACAAGTGTCCAATCAAAACAAGGTAAGGAACACATTAATTTCTTACATGTGTGGTCCCAAAAAACACATCTAAGCTGTCATTTTCAGGGGCCTCGTCAACAATATCCAAGGGGCAGGGCTTAGTGGAAAGGATTTACATATTTCTTTTAAACACTTAATTCATCCAAGTGTGATTGCCATTAAATGGATTTGCTTTAAAAAAAAAAAAGTATTATGACTTTAAGACATGATATACAGAATTAAAAGCTTCTTACATCTTCATCAATTGCCGACTTGTCTCGTTCCAAAACAACTTCCACCTTCTGGCGTCCATCATCCGTCTCCTCGCATTCGGGAGATTCCAGGAAGCCCTGTAGACGCTTGGTGCTGACATGCGCGTTGACGAGGAACGCAAATGTCGTGGGCATTACAAATAGGGGGATGGTAATTTGATTGAGGAGCGACAGGGAGGCAAATGCTACGGCAGGTGTCAGCGGTTCGTGCTCAAATACTTGGTACAGACCGTATGCCTAAGAAACACAATCAAAATTTACCCAAACCTTTTTGATAGAGGGTAGTGTCTCAACTCAAGGAATGGTTAAATATAATAATAATAATTACTTTTTATTCCATTAAATATGTAAGAAATATAAAACACATTTTTGTGGCATTTGAATTTCACATTTTATTCTATTTTGTCCTATGATTTTGGCAGGACAATATTTTTAGATTTTAAGTAAATTAACAATCTTCGGTTAAGTGTAAAATTAAATTAGTTAAATATAAACACTCACCACAAGAGTAACGAGAAGAGGCGAGGCAATAGTTGTAGTTGCTGAAATATAAATAAAAATGTTAAGCTATCCATAATATAAGATATTATGTGAGTAATACATGTATGCCAATTATATATGGGTTGATATGACATCACATACCCATATATGGAAGTGATATGACATCATTATGCTGATATGTGGCAAGGACAAGCCAAACCAGTCACTCGTCGCAAATCGTATTTCTGAGATATTCTGAGACCAAAACATGCTTCAATATCAATTTGTTTGAAATCAATTTTATTGCACTATTAAAGCTAACCTTAATATTTTCTAAACATCCTGCTATGCTTTCATTTTCCCTATTTTCAATGTTAAAATCATAAACTTTGAAGGCTGATTTCTCAAATTTTGTTCTTTAAACAGCTGTATGCTTAAACGCTTGTAACATCATAAGGAAAAGTCTGATTTTAATGATTCTTTTTACCATTTTATAGCTCATATTTTACTGTTTAACCCACTATTAACAACTAAAAATTGATTTTTGCGACGAGTGACTGCTTTGGCTTGTCTTTGCCACATATGGACAATTCATACAAATTTATAATATATTCATGATAGTATGGAAAAGAAGTTAATTTCACAAGAATACATTTTCTTTTGCATAGAAAAGTTGGTTGACAAACTTAATAACACTATACAATGATTTATAGCCATAAAAAACAAAGATAAATGGAATGAGAAAATCTGAGAATACAGGCAAGGTTACACTTTAAAACCCCGTTCCAGATTCCAGAAATTCAAGATATTGACAATGATGTATTATTATTATAATCAGGGGCGGATCCAGAAATGTCCAAAAGGGGGGGCCAGAAGTGGGGCCGATTTAGACAACACTGTCGTAGGGGGTCCGGGGGCATGCCCCCGCGAAATTTTTGTGTTCTAGACGCCCGAACATAACATTTGAGACATTCTGGGCTATTATTTTTTTCTTTTTCCCTCTTTTTTTTTTTTTTTTTTTTTTTTACTTCCCAAAAGGGGGGCCGGGGCCGGGCCGGCCCCCCCTAAATCCGCCCCTGATAATTGATGTGATGTAATATGCCAAAGTATGGTCATGATGACATCACATCATGACCATATATAGGCTCATCATGACTATACATGGGCATACAACAGTTTTTGTTAATGAAAATTTAATAGAGTAGACAGAGCATACAGCCATGGCTCTGGAGGAAAACATTTTTTTAAAAATATTTTGTACAACTGATTCTAAGACACAAAAATGGTGTTTGACAAAAAAACTCTGGAAAAGTTAATGATACAGATTTTGTAATATTTAAAAACCGGGGGAAAATGTGGTTACGCCCCTTTTTTCCCAGTTTTCAAATATCCAAAAATCTGTATATCATTAACAAGTTCCCAAGTTTTTCCTGAAAAATCAATTTTCTGTCTTAGGAAAATCAGTTGTTCAACACATTAAAACAAAAATTTTCCTCTGGAGCCTGGCATTAAACCTTGTTAGATAATTTGTGGCAAAGACAAGCTAAAGCAGTAATTTTCTTGTAAAAAAAACATCGATTTTTAGTTATTAAAAGACAGGATTAAACAGTAAAATGAGAGCTATAAAACGGTAAAAGAATTTTTTAAATCCAACATTTTGCTATAGAGTTTAACAGGAGTTTAAAACATACAGCTGTTTAAAGAACAATATTTGAGAAATCAGACAAGAAGCCAACAATGTAGTAGATGGTGCTATACTCACTTAAAGCAAAACTCCAGAGGGAGCACTTCATTCTGACATGAACCTCTTTCGCTCGAGCATCTTTGATGTTGTATAAAAAGATGTCCTCCCAGCCGTACAGCTTAATTAGCTTGATCCCTTGCAGCATTTCATTTATCCTCTTCAGACGCTCATCAGAATTGGCCTGAGAATTAACGAAGATGTTAATAAGCATTTACCTTTGTAGTACAGCCTTACTTACATGCATGCTTAAGGACTAAAATATGACGTCTAAATGTATTGATATAATTATAAAATTTTCATGTTTTCCACCCCAATCCCCCAAAAGAAATAAATTATATATAAAAGTTATTATTTGAGTATATTAAAAACAATTCCAAATGCACCAGTTTTGGTAGGCGCTACCAATTTGTATTAATTATGTATTATTATTATTATTATAATTATTATTTCTGTAACTATCATTAAATTCTAATGTTCTATATTTTGTTACCTCTTACCATGATAATTTTCTGGAAACAGCAAGTTATTATTTGAGGGTATTAAAATCAATTCTAAATACACCAGTTTTGGGAGGCGCTAACAATAAAGGGCATGGGCTGTTTATATCATTATTATTATTATTATTATCATAACTATTGTTATCATTTGTATTAATTATTATTATTATTATTATTATTATTATTATTATTATTAATATTATTATTATTATTATTATTACTATTATTATTGTTATTATTACTTCTGTAATTATCATTAAATTCTATTGTTCTATATTTTTTTTTCTCTTACCATGACAATTTTCTGGAAACCAGCAAGAATACCAGCAATTTTAGTCTGTATCGGCATGGTAACAAAGAATACAGAGAAACCAACCAACGCCGAGTAGCCCAAGGTCAGATATAGGATATATAAAGATATACCAAGCTAAAAAAAAATCAAGAAAATGGAAAAGAAAATATAATTGTCAAAATTTATAAACAATTTATAAGGCAAGCATTTTAGGGTTAAAAAGTAAGAGTTGGGCGCTAAATATTGATGCTGGCAGGGATAATATGTATATTTTTGTAATTTACATTTTTTTTAAAGTATTTGAAACCTATCAATAGATGCGAAAATTTACACAAAAAAAATACAAAAAAAAAAAAAAAAACAAGCAAAGGAAACAATAACAGGTCAATGAAGAAATACAAAAATCAGTTTTTCTACTAGATAGAAAGCCTTGACCTTGGTTCAAGTGAGGATTATTGGATGTAGAACGCTGGATTAGAGAAGTGTTGATTATTCTATAGACTATATAGTACATAGTGATAATGGCCTTCCATGGCTTAGTACGAATAAAATATTCTGATTTTCTTAGTATTTTGAAAACGTGGAAAAGAGGATATGGATGGGTTTAACCTTGATTAGAGCTATAGTGTGAATTAAATTTGGATGTAGTGAAGTCGTTCTTAAAATGCAATTGTCCAGTGTATTACAATATGTTTGTGTCTGGATTTTATAAGCGGCTTTAGTAAATTTGCATTGTCTAATTTTTTGATATGGTTTAAACTGGGCTGATGCCGGCTTCAGAAACATTGCAAGGGAGGAGTGTCTGAATAAACATGATCAGAAGCCTCACATGTCTACAATAGGTGCAGTGGTTCGCAGGCGATATCCCCATTGCTGCATGAAACTTTTTAGACGCCTGGGGATCTAGTAAAAGAAAAACCCTCCTAAAAATATCTCACAATTTCAGAAGCTTCATTAATTATTAATGAAATTGTTGGTTTATATACCTACTGTTCCAACAGGAATAGAGTGGTTTCACAACTCTCTGGTTTTCTTGATATAGATATAAATTTTCATCATCTATTAAATTTAATTGATTTTATTTCATGTTTCTTGTATTTTTAGAGCCCTTTTGGATAGGTTTATAAACTTATATCCAACAGGAAGAGTTGTTTCTCTACTCTCTGGTTTTGTTGATATACGTATAAATTTTCATCATCTATTAAATTAAATTGATTTTGTTTCTGTCTTGCATTTTTAGAGCCTTTTTGTTAATAGTTTTTATAGTACAGATTTGAATATTTTTACAGTTCATGTGCAATGGATTCCTGGTAATATATTGAATATTGAAAACAACACTTCTGTGATGAGTAGTGGGAATTAAAGGCAGACAAGCTTGACAAACTAAACAAGCTAAACAAGATTATGATCCTACTAGAACAGTTAATTGGATTTGAAGGTTTGATAGTTGTAACGGTGCCTGCTTTCCAAACTCAGGGTCTTAGGTTCAATTCCTGTCACAGTAACAGGATTCAAGATTTAAGACCAAAACAACTGCACTCCCTATAGACTCGTAATAAGACTTAGTTAATGCAAACAGCAAATCTTGTGTTTATGTTTGCTGTTGTTGGGCATATCC